AAATAAAAAATAATATAATAAAAAGTAAAAAAATAAAAATAAAATAATAAAAGTAAAAAAATAAAATAAAAAAATAAAATAAAAATAATTAATAAAAAGTAAAAAAAATAAAAAGTAAAATAATAAAAAGTAAAAAATAAAATAAAATAAAAGAAATAGAAAATAAGAAAATAAAATAAAATAAAAATAAATAAAAAAAAATAAAAAATAAAAAATAAATAAAAAAATAAAAAAAAATAAAAAAAATAAAAAATAAAAAATAAATAAAAAAATAAAAAAAATAAAAAATTGAATATTAAAATATGGGTTTGCGGGTAATGCAAAACGAAAAATTAAACTTGGTTAAATTTTTGTCGATGCCTTCTTTTTAAATCTTGTATATGGTTAGCCGTGATTTAAAATTAGATTGGCTAATTGATGTCGATCCAATACTAATCGTTATTTTTACACGAAATTTTAGACGTGATTTTCTCAAAATTTAAAAAAAGCCATAAGCCGTGTTTTGGTTTGACGCGCCCCATGTGATTTTACCTAGCAATCCAATTAATGATCAACTGTTTTTTCCGTTCCTGGTTTTGTGCGATAACGCCGCGCAGCTATCTAATTAGTTATTAAGTGTTGTTACAAGTAACATGTTATGATTAGGCATGGTCTAATTTTTTTGTGTAATAATTTGTGGATCTCACTAAGACACTTTTTTGATTGACGATGCCCCATATAGTAAATATACCGATTTGCCGATCTATACATTTTTTCATATCTGTATATTGTATATTAAGTTTTACATAGCAGATAGATGTGTATATACGTACGTACCTCAACAGTACACTAATAGTATCTCTCAAGGTCATGTAATCTATCCCCTCGTCCATCTATATAAGACATTTCCGTGGTGTAGAATGATTGCACGAAAACTAATGGATTCGTATTCCATGATACTTCTCAGACATTTTGTTTCCTGACTCGGGGAAGTGATTGTCGAGAGAAATAAATGGATGCCCATTTTAGTAGGTGACACTACATATATTTGATTGCTGCTAAATAAAAATCAAATTCGAAATATTTAATGAGTCCGATATATTAAAATTTTAAATATAACCTTACAAAGTTTTAACAACAGTAACATAATTAACTTATAAATTAAGATTTTATCGATTCATAAGACAATGCTTCTAAAATTATTAGAATTTATCATATTATCGTTTTATATTATATCAAGTGTAAATGCGCTCTGGCCTCTTCCTCAATGCTGGGAAAAAGGGTCAAAAACCCTCTCAATCTCTCCAGATTTTTCTCTAGAACAAACTCCTGAAACTGATTCCTTACTCGATACTAAAACAAAAATAATTCTTGAATCTGCTAAAAAGCGCCTTCTAGAGAACATAACATCTGAACAATATACTTCACCAAATGTTAATTTTATCGTTCCAGAAATCATAGACAAATCAAACACGTTATGTATTTTGATCATTTCAATTACTACAGATAGTTCAGAATTGGAATTAGGTGTCGACGAATCATATGAACTTACAATTCCCGAATCGCAAATTGACAGTGATCCAATAACGGCTCATCTTAAAGCTAAAACCATATTTGGTGTCCTTCATGGCTTAAACACATTTTCTCAACTTCTCTATTATAAAAACTCTAAGTCATTATTGCCTTTCGCTCCACACCAAATCAATGATTTTCCTCGATTTTCTCATCGAGGTTTGTTATTGGACACTGCAAGAAATTATTTTCCTGTAAAAAACATTTTGAAGACATTAGATATAATGAGCTGGAATAAGTTTAATGTGTTTCATTGGCATATTGTCGATGCTACTAGTTGGCCAGTAGTTAGTGAATCATTTCCAGAATTGAGTAATAAAGGGTCTTATGATCCAAAACGTATGATTTACACTAAAGAAAGTATTAAGGAAGTTATCGAGTATGCAAATTTGGTATGTTATCCCTTAAAGACAATGTCTATATAGATATACTATATTAATGTGAAAGGAATATAATCGCGTTTATAGATTGAATATTTGTTTCTAATTTTGTTTATTTTATCGAATTAAGAGAGGAATTAGGATTATTCCGGAATTTGACATGCCAGGTCATACACATTCCATCGCAGAAAGCATGCCA